GGTTCAAAAGACTTTGACCCCAGACTTGAGCCCAATGTGTTCTGCCACTGGTGCTCCCCTTTCCCCAGCAAGTACACCTCCCCTCACTCTAGATCATCGTCTTCTGATCACACCATAGGCTGGTCCATCACACAGGGACCAACATAGCCATATTCTGCACTTTGAAATTAACCTTCTCAGGCTTCAAAAGCAAATGCAACAATTAAACTCTGTACTTCGTTTTTGATTTTCTTCTTTCTTTAAACCATTTTCCTACATCTATTGATCACAATATTGCCTTTATTGAAGAATGAGACCACAAAATACTGATGATAAACTTTGGGTCCTGGTATATTTGCAAGTTTTCCTCAAATCACACTCACAGGCAGCTTTCTACCCTGCTAAGGTAGGCCAATTTTCTGATTTTGAACTATTGATCACCTCCCCAGGCACCTTCAGTGGTAAGCCTTAGTGCTAATTGAAAAAACAAGAAGGAGCAAGCACTTCCGTCTTTCAAGGAAGAATAAGAGTGTATGAGGAAATGTGGACTAGCAGCTGACCGGAGGGGCTGTCATTATTCTCTATAAACCGCTGCCAAATTTCAAAATCAAGTGCATTAGTTGCGCACAACGCATTAGGTCTCCTCAGCTCTCACACAATTTTCATTTCCAGGCCAGGCTTGGATCATTTTCAGTTGCTAACTCAAATATGTGCCATTAAGGCATAGCAGATCTTCATTTCCATTTCATGGAAGTGCATAGAACTTTCTATATATTGACAATGACAGAGTTCCTTATTTATTAGTGGTGTTTTGTTTGTCTTTTAATCCCTCCCTCACACCAATCCCAGCATTTCTCTGCTGTGAATAATTCTCCCCCACTACCTCCACCTTTTTCTAAGAGATCACAGACACTACATAAACTGATAGAAAGAATCCTTCCTTATGCTCTTGACTCTACTTTTTGGCTTCAAATTAATTAGAGTACTAAGTTACCTTGTGTCTTAGTACAATTATATCTTTGGCCTTATTATTTGTGTGTTCTGGGAAAAGTATTATACTCCCCCAACCACCTCCTTCCTGATATGCCTGAATTGTCACTCTTACCATGTTATTCCTTGTTCAGAAACCAAGTCTCTCATCCTGGCATCCAAGACTTCCACAATGTAGCTCAGCCTTCCTCAGTCTTTTCTCCTACTACTTGTCCCCTCTTCTCTCATGCTTTATCCAAATTGTACTTCTTCTTTTCTGAGAGAATACTATACTTCTCTATATCCTTGCCCTGTAGTACTTGGCCTTTCTGATAGAACACACTCTTTTCCTCACACCAACCACACCATATTAAACATCCAAGCATTCTTTAAGGCCCATTTAATGGATCATTGCCTCCTCTGGGCTTTTGCTTTAAAATCTCTTGCTTTCTTTTACTTCAGGAGTTTGTCTATTTGCCATTTTCCTTGTACTGCATTAAAGAATGGCATCTTAGTCACATTAGTCATTATTCCTAGTGTATAGTGTTTGGAGCTCTGACTAACTTTTATGGAGTCTTTGAGGCCGTAAGCTGAGTATTCTACTTAGAACACATTTAATTTGTCTTTTAACACATAGGTCAAACCCTTCTGATTCAGAGCAATATTCTGTTTGCTGTCACTACATTTCAGTGTCATTGTCAATCAGAAATATTTTAAAACATTTGAAATTAATGAGCGTAGCGGTTTACTGAATATAATAATATAAAAATTAATTACATTTCAATGTACCAGCAATAAACAGAAAACAAAATAAAAATATCATCTATGATAGAGTAAAAAAATTGTTGTACTATGCTTTTCCTCTTTTTATATAGTTTATCCAGATATCCTCTGTGGCAGTTAATATAGTATTATGTATCAACTTGACTGTATTGAGGGATGCCAGATAGCTGGTGAAGAATTGTTTGTGGGTGTGTCTATGAGGGTGTTTTCAGAGAAGATGGATGCATGAATCAGTGGACTGAGAGAGAAAGACTTGCTCTCATTGTGTGCAGACACTATCCAGTCTGCTGTGGGCATGGCTAGAACAAAGCAGGCAGAAGGGAGGACATTCAGCGTGCTTGATTTTTTTCTTTGCCCTGATCTTTCTCTCCATTCAGGAGCAAGGTGCCTTTTTCTTCTCCTACCCTTGAACATGAGACTCCAGGTTCTTCAGCCTTTGGAGTCTGGGACTTGCACCAATAGTCTCCTGGGGGCTCTTGGGACTTTGGCCTCAGATTAGGAGCTGTACCGTTAGCTTCCCTGGTTTTGAAACTTATGGAATTATACTGAGCCACACTACCATCCTCCCCAGGAGCCACTGTTGGCTTCTCTCATTTTCCAGTTTGCAGATAGCCCATTGGGGGCCTTTGCCTTTGTTATCTTATGACCAAGTCTCCCTAAGAAATTCCCGTTCATATATATATATCCTATTGGTTCTGTCCCTCTGGAGAACTCTAACTAATAAATCCTCTGATTTCCATTTCTCTTCTTTGAAACTAGGCCATTGACATCTGTGACGCAAATCCAATCCTGATGCTCATGCTTTGTGTCTACATGTATGAAAGGCTCCCTACATACCTCCCCAGAAAGGTGGTGCCCTTTCATTGTACTCTACATGACACCGTGCTGAGACAGGTAAGGATATCTTTGGGACCAAAATGCACATGGAGTTAAACACTTAAGAGGGGTTTTAGATATTTCTTTCCCAACTCCAAATAAACAGCAAGTTAATTTTATTAAAAT